CTCACCCCCCCTCTCCTATCCAAAGAGCAGTCATGGTTCCCTGCCCTGTGGAAAGTCCAAGGTCCTCCCCCCTACGTCCATGTCTAGGAAGGTGAACGTCCAAACTGGCTAGGCTCCCACCAAGCCAGAACATGAAGTAGAAGTCAGTGCTTTTAAGGGATGACCTGCACATCAATTTTAAACTGATTTTTGGAGCAAGTGATCAACATACATTGTGCGTACTTAAAAACAATAACAAAAAAGGGAATTTTCTCTTCTACATCTGTTCTCTAATCATCCCATTTCTTTTCCCTTAGGATTGTCATAGCCAATACATAATTGATATGCATATATGCCCAATTTATCACACATATAATATTTATACAAGTAATAGCAAAATATTCTTGTTCCCAGGGTTAGATGGGTATTTAAGACACACACACAACACACACACATACACACACAATCAGTCTTATAAATATGGATCTCCCAGAATAAGATGCATTTAGGAAGGCATTATGGAATAATTAAAAAGCAATAAGTAACCCAGTGGATGATAATTAAAAATTGTTTAGATAAAACTGATTCTCATTCATTTTTACAATTCATACTTTTTTGCATTCATATTCTACAATCCTGACACTGTCAATCTTGCTTTGCAAATGAGGGTCTCAGAGAGCTTATGTCCTTTGTCTGAGGTGTAAGAACAGAGCCAAAATTTGATCTCCTCCCTTTCCTCCCTCTCCTCCTCCCTTCCCCCTTTCTACCCCTCCCCTACCTATTACCTTTCTTCCTCCCACTTCTTATTTCTCAGGAGCCATTTCAAACATTACCTGAGACTAATATGGTGGTGTGTGCCTATAACCCAACCCTAGTACGAGGGAAGCTAAAGCAAGGGTACTGACAAGCGCTCAGGGCTAGCCAGGACTGTACGGCAATACCCTGCACCCAAACATGAGGCAAACCATGTAACAGTTCATACATAGAACCCTCTTTTTGTTGTTGTTGCTTTTTCGAGACAGGGTTTCTCTGTGTAACAGCCCCAGCTCTGTAGACTAGGCTGGCCTTGAACTCACAGAGATCCTCCTGTCTTTACCTTCCATGTGCTGGGATTAAAGGCATGCACCACCACCGCCTGGCCCTAGAACCCTCTTACAACAAGTGCACACACAGAGTGTGGTGAACTTGTTATAAAATTAAAGGAATTTGAACATTTTCATATATTTGGTTCATTCCTTTATAAGGGAGGAATGATGCTGTAGGTAGAGGTGAAGCCTGTCTTGAAATGGCTCCATTGTTTTCCCTCCAGGAGAACTGGAGTCTGTGCCCAGGGTGATGTTTGTCTGCTGTTTCTCTTCCACACTAACATTACTCTAGCCCATCCCAGTCTCTCTTTTTGATATTCAGCAGTAGGTTTTTGAGACTTAGCCATGTTAATACTTGGAGTTCTAATTTACTCATGTGAACAACTATATAGAATTGTCTCAACTTAGTACAATGTAGTGGTTTAAAAGAAAAATGGCCCCCAAAGGGAGTGGCACTATTAGGAGGTATGACTGTGCTGGAGTAGGTATGGCCTTGTGGGAGGAAGTGTGTCACTGTGGGGGAAGGCTTTGAGGTGTCTTTTGCTCAAGTTCACACTCAGTGTGACACTCAGTCCACTTCCTGTTGCCTTCTGATGAAGATGCAGCCAGCATTATGCTTCCTGCCATGATGATAATGAACTGAACCTCTGAACTGTAAATTGCCACATCAATTAAATACTTTCTTTATAAGAGTTTCTGTGATCATGGTGCCTCTTCACAGCAATGGAAATCCTAATTAAGATATACAATTGCGTATGTTTAATGATGCAAAAATGTGTTGTATTCTTTTATGATGCATTTGTTCAACTCCATGAAGTTGTGTTACTTTGCTTGTCTAAGACATCGGATTGGTCTAATTAAGAGCCAAATGGCCAATAGCAAGGCTGGAGAAAGGATAGGCTGGGATGGCATGCAGAGAGAATAACTAGGAGAAATCAGGGAGGAAAGACCAAGGAGCAAGAAAAGGAGGAAGACATCAGGGACCAGAAACCCGGTTAGACAGCAAGTCATGGAGAAAGAAGTAAAGAAAGGTATACAAAAATAGAGAAGGATAAAAGCCCAGAGGCAAATGGTAGATGGGATAATAAGTTAAGAAAAACTGGCTAGAAATAAGCCAATCCGAGGCTAGGTGTTTATAAGAATGAATAAGCCTCCATGTGTGATTCATTAGGGAGCTAGGCTGTGCCCCTACCAAAAGACCTAAGAGTAGAAGAACCAAAGAGTAAAAACAACCAATAACAGTTAACGGGGAAAACATGTGGGAGGAGAAGGCATTTCAATAAAGGAAAGAACATGTGCAAAGGCCCAGCGGCGGGAATACAAGAAGTGCTGGGTTTATCAAGGCAAGGGACGCTTATATTGATTTGTGCTTGCTCTGTAAGTATTTTGCATTTAACAGCTCTCTTTTATTAAACAGCTTTCTTGTGTTCTCTTGAAAAGCATTTCAAAATGTTTTATTCATTCGGAAATCCTCTCACCAAATATTTAGCATCTATATTTGCAGGCAATGACCCATGTATAGGCTGAAGGTGGGCACAAATTGGTGCTGTAGATGTCAGGGTCTCTGCTCAGAGTGTGGAAATAGTCTGCAAATGGCTACATGCTGAAGAGACGAATGAGAACGCACACCGTGGGCTCAGGGAAACTGGCAAGCAGACGTCAAGTGGGAGGCAAAGTTTGGAAAGGACACCTGGGCCAAAGGGCTGCCTTGTGGTCCATGCTTGCCCCGACTTAATCTCATACAATTAGAGTTCCCTAGGAATCAGGCCATAGGTTCTGATGACATTGGGGGCACAATAGCCAAGTCTGCGGGGGGCTGGAGTGGGACTTCCCTGGGGTTCCATCCTTGCTCTGATACTGGTTCATAGATTTGGGGGCAACTTTACTCAATCACTTTGTGCTTTAGTTTCCTTCTTTATAAAATGAGACTAATGAGAACACCCACTTCATGAGGCTGATCGCAGATGGAAGAATAGTTAAACTAGACCGTGCCACAAAGAGAACAGTACCCGACACATGGTAAACGCTTGGTGACTGTGAGATGTTTTCTTTCGTTCATTCACTAGTTTGCTCAAAGCTAGACGTTGCATGGAGTGCTGAAGACATGGGGGATTAGCAAAATGGACCAGTTTATTTCTATCATGGGGATGACAGAGTCTAAGAAGAAGACTAAATAAGGTAATGGACAAATGAACACACATCAACACACAAGAGAATCCCAGCTCATGACACCATGCAGAGTAAAGGCAAGGGATGGGAAGTGACATTTGACTTCAGTCAAGTGAGAAGAGAGAGTCTACCATGATGGAGAAGGGATTCTAGGCAGTGAGCATGGCATGTTCAAAGGTTTGGGAATGAAACAGGTATGTTCAAAGAACAAAATGAGAATAGCCTGTCATTGTATTGATGAGGAAACTGAGGCTGGACATTTGGATTAGTTCTCCAAAGAAACCAAGCAAGTGAAGAAGCCAGGAAGGCAGTTCTAGCTCTTTGTCCCATATTCAACTCTTCATTTTCTCCCTCCGTCCCTCCTTTCGGCCTTCTTCCGTGGGTGTGTGGTTTGGTACATGTGGTAGATGCATGTAAGTGTGTGGGTGCATGCCGTGGAAAGCATGAGAGAGCTAGAGCAGCTTGGAATCTTCTGCTGTCTGGTCTTCCCTATTGCCTTGAGGTAGGAACTGAACTAGACATTGTCCATTTCAGCTATGCTGGCTGGCTGGAGAGCTCTGGGGACCCATCTGTCTCCTCCCCAGAGTGCTATGGGTATAGGCACTGCAGCCATATATGACCATTTAATTTTATATGTGTGCTAGGGGTATGAACTCTCACGCTGC